TAATTATTATTATTACTACTTACATTTTACTCTTCTTAGTACTTAGATACATTTTCTCATCAGATCCTCTAAGTCTAAATTTCTTTAGTGTTCATAGAATCCTAGTTAAGTATCCATCATTGTTGTATTTGTACTATTATTACTATTGGTTTGTTATTATTGATTTGTTCCCTATTAGTGCTGACATCAACTCTCAGTACATTGTGCTCCTTGAACTCTGCCCACCTGAAATTACTCAGTCTTCACATCATATCAATTATATCACTGTTGCTTTCAATTATTACTATTAGCTAGCACTTCAATAAACCAAACCTCCATTTTTAGTACATTATATACATTTACTCTTTGAATCCTAAATACTTTAATATTTAGTCTTCACAGAGTCCCTTTAAGTAGATTTTGTGGTTATTTATTATCATGATTAATATTTGTAATTATTATCAATTACTTATTTACCAACGTTATCTTTTACTGTAAGAACCTTGTATATTTATTCCTTGAACCTCACATATGTTTTATCTATTTAGTCTCATAATATTCCAGTGAGGTGGTTTTATTGTTGTAATATCATTATCATTGTTACCATCTTTATCATTATTGCTATTAATAGCACTTTAATAATGTAAACCTCTGAGTAAATTAAATAATCATTAAATCTGTATGCATCATAGTTTCTTCAGTCTTCACACCATCTCAATGAAGTAGAACAGGGTTTTTTATTTGTTTTTCTCTTTATTTTTTACATTATTTTAACTATTTCTTCACCAGTGCCTACATCTGTTCTAAATACCTTAAATACAACAAATCCTTGAATTCTTATACATCTTTAAGTAATTTTGTCCTCTCTGCCTCCTATTGAGGTAGGTTGTCACTGTTATTTGTTATTATTTTAATTAGTTGCTGCTGCTGCTAAATTGCTTCAGTCATGTCGGACTCTGTGTGACCCAAGAGATGGCAGCCCACCAAGCTCTACCATCCCTGGGATTCTCCAGGCAAGAACACTGGAGTGGCTTGACATTTCCTTCTCCAACACACGAAAGTGAAAAGTGAAAGTGAAATCGTTCAGTCGTGTCTGACTCTTCCCCACCCTATAGACTGCAGCTTACAAGGCTCCTCCATCCATGGGATTTTCCAGGCAAGAGTACTGGAGTGGGTTTCCATTGCTTTCTCTGTTAATTAGTTGTGTCAACTACTAATTGACACCTACCAAGAGCTTTGCCAACAACTGAACAACAAAGGTGTTTCTATTCTGCCTCTGTAGAGATTGAACTTCATGCTGCTATAGCTGTTGACCTTCAACAACCCTGAGGGAGTTCAGGGTGAGGCACTCTGTGCCCCAGAGAAGCTAGTGGGACAGGTCTTTAGATAGTTGGATGTTTTTGGAACACATTTTATAATCTCAATCCTTGCATCTCCTCATATATAGAGTAAGCACTAAATCCCCTCATGGTGACATCAGATTCTCATGACTAAAAACATTTTGTAAAATGAGCACTTCATGGTATTTAACTCCTCCTTCAACAAAACCTTATATATTGACTTTCCCCCACTGCCACTTTGGAGTAGTCCCTAAGAGCTATCTGAGATACTGCCTCCTGGGCTGCAGCCCTCATTTTGCCCCCAGTAAAGCCTAATTCACAACTCCCAAGTTGTACATCATTTTTTTAGTCAATAGTTGTTAGTTACCAGTGCTCATCTCTGTTCCAAGTATTATGTGTACTTTCACTTCCAGAATATGTACCTTCATTTATTTATTTCACAGTATCCTAGCAGGTAGCATTTGTCATTGTTATTTTGTTCTTGTTATCATCCATACTAGTTAGCATATTTCTTACTAAAGCTGACTTTTATTTTTAATGCTTTATATGTTTTTGCTCATTGATTGATTATACACCTTAATTTACATAGTCTTTGCAGCATGCCAATGATGATTTATTTTTTTGCTTTGTGTTTTTTTTTATTATTATTATTTTAATTTATTATTATTACTGGTGATTAAAGGTAAACATATTGAGGGCCAAAGCAAATCCATCAATGTAAGCCCTGATAAATGGCAGAAAAAGTGTTCCAGGAAACAAACTCACTCAGAAGAACAACACAGATAGTGAAGTGCAGTTTATCACACCAGTGGACCCAAGGCAGAGTCTCCTCTTAGCCAAGGACTCTGACCCGCATTTGTGAAAATCTTTTATATCTCATGTGTATGTGTCTGAACTCACCACCCAAAATTCCTTGAGACTTACATAAACAAAGAGTAAATACAATCACAATAACCCAATCATTTATGTGTCATGTGTCCAAACAGTTAATAATCAACAAGCCTGGGGTTACATTCTGATAGATACAGAAAAAAAAATATGACGTGTCTGGAGGCAGGGGTGATTAGAGTATGTTTTCCCTTAGGCAATGAGTAAGCTGGATATGATTTTCAAGATCCGCCTGCCTAGAGGGGGTCTTATCCTTCTGTTGTAGTTTCCATAGACACTAAGCACAGCATTCAGAGTCTATTGGAGAGGTGGCCAAGCATGATCAGCAAGAACAGGCCTAAGATAGTGTCCAGGCCCTATGAATTCCTTCTTCAAAAGGAGTCATATCCAATTACATCTGGAATTCATGCTATTAGTTCATACCAGTAATTTTTTTTAATTTGCACATTTTAAAATATGGCTAATATCCATTAGAAAATACAAGAATATTCATCAAAGCTTGAAAAAAAAAAAAAAAAAACTTGCTAAAAATATACAAAACCATTCATTTCTTCCCTGACATATATTCAGGAGAAATGTATGTAAATGTACCTACCACAGACAGGTATACATATGTTCAAAGGACATCACTACTCATCATACTTAAAACGAGAAAATGTCCAATTGTTGCTGAGTTCACTCTGGTCACCTCATGACAGGCCAATGAATCCAAGAGACAAGTTGTTGATACAAAAGAAGACTTTAATCACACAGCTGACAGACTGAGAAGAGGCTTGTACCTCAAAATAATTATCTTATTGGGGTCTGGATGTCAAGTTCTTTTTAGATCACAGAGAAAGAAGCATGAGAAACTCAAGTCAAAAGCCAGAATAGAGAGAGAGGCAGGGGGGAAATAAAGTAAAAGGGTCTTCACTCTTGTAAAACCTCTTCAAGGTAATGCCCAGGCTTCAGAAGGGGTGTGTTAATCTCTTCTATTCACAGGTGAACAGAGACAAACTATCTCTCTTTGAGCAGAACAAAGGAACTTCAGTTTACAGTCAAGCGAAGAGGCAGGGTCCTCCAGGCAAGCAATTGAGAATGATTATAATAACAAAAGCAAAGCAAAGAAACAAGTTTCCAACCTGGAGTCAGAATGGACTGCAACCAGTCACACATCTATAATATATAGGATGAAGTGTGCATAGTAATTTCCAAAACAAACTCAATGTCACTGATTTTATTTGAAGCAAAGGAAACTAAACATAGTATTTTATGTTTTCCTTTATTTGAAGTTCAAGAAAGGGAAAGCATACCTATTTTGACAAAAGTTAGAGTACAGTTTATTTATGAACATGTGAAAAGAAAGATTTTAAATAATAAACACCAATACATATAAATGAAAAAATATACAATACTTTGAAATACAAATTTAGGTAGATGTTTAAAAGGTTATTGTAGCACATAATTACCATTTTGAGTGCATGAATCTCTGATTAAACAATATTGTTCCTGGAATAAATCAGTCTGTGATGTTGTCTCCTTTTTATCCCTGAACTGTCTTTCAAAAACTTCACATTTCACTATATATTGTTTTGGGGTTTTGAGTTTTATTATTTGAGGAACTGTTTTTTAAGAATTTGGAATGTAAGTATTGGAAAGTTAACTTTGATATATGACTCATATCATATCATATCATATCATACTGTTTGACCATGGACTGATTGTCATTTCAAAAAAGTGATGCTTTCTTTGCAAGCTGCCTGTTTTTTCTACTTTAGTCTGTTTGCAATTTTTTAAACACCTTTGATTTACATTTTCATGGACACCTCATCAGATTAACAAGACAGGATCTTGCTTATCCCATCCCCCATGCCACATAATCTGAAAAGTTTATATTCTTGACATGATATCACTTAATTTTGTTGTTCCAAGAATGCAAAAGTTAAGTGAAAAATGGAAGCAAATGCATTGCCAGTGTTTAAAAGAAAATTTTCAGAAAAGAGATGAAAACTTAGGTCTCACAGGAGCTAATTAAATACTGGATAGATGTTATAATCCCCTCAAAACAGGTAAAAGCTTACAATTTTGTATGACTGAAGAAACTGACTTGCAAATGACAGCAAAACTGGCTTTTTCACAGTGGGAAGGAAAGGCTATAAACTGTGAAAGAAGATAGAATATGCATATATACACACTAATTTCCTGCAGTTTACAAAGAGGAGGAAAGTAGCTAGAAAGGCCAAAGAACAGACCTTGTACCAGAAAGTGCTTTAGAAGGTAGGGAGCTTTCCATCCAAGTAGGATGTCTTTCCATTGTACCATGAATTGTGAGTGTTTCTGAAAGCACTATAGTCTGGAGTTACAGTATTTAAAATAAAAAGTAAAAGTTATATTGTCTATAGTGACTATTTCCAGATTATTAATATATACTACCATCTAACTAATGGCCAATCTCTGGAACAATTAAAATTAGAAAAATATAAATTGTGCCATTACTAGGAAAAACAGATGACCTTCAAACTCAAGCAGTGTTGGTGCTGTTAAGATAATTTCTTACAAAAAAGTACTCTTACAGAAAGAATTGATAAACAGAGGACCAGTTATATTGGAAAGTTCTAATTCTTTACATGTTAAATGTACTTATTTGGCTTCTTTTAAAATTAAGTAACAGGTGAAATTGTAGTAAAATTGAGGTAAAGAGCACCTTTGTTAGCGAAAGTAAGGAGGTCAATATTGAAAATAAGAGCAAGAAAGTCCAGGCTGTAAACTTTGATAAAAGGGGAAGTCCGCGGAAATCTGTGTAGCCAATGTTACCCTATTGTGGCCCAGGTTTGTCCAGCTGCTGTGATGCTCCTTTTGGAGGAATGAATTGGTTATGGTCACAGGCTGTGAGAGACTTAACTGGCTTTCCATTCGTGAGCATGTGGTCTTGGCACAACCGTCCCTGTATGTGAAGGGCTGCAATGTCTCTACATGCATCTGTTTGCGTAGTATTGAAGAGTCTGCAGGAAGCAATTTCTGATGCCTCTTCGTTTTCCGACGAGGTCGATATTTATAGCCCGGGTATTTGTCTCTGTGTATGGCTAGTAGTCTCTGTGCCTCCTCAAAGAATGGGCGCTTTTCAGCATCTGTAAGCCTTTTCCACTCATACCCCAGCTGCTTGCTGATCTCTGAGTTTTGCATTTTGGGATTCTCTAGAGCCACCTTTCGTCTTCGTTCACGAGACCACACAATGAACGCGTTCATGGGTCGCTTGACGTGGTCCTGGCCGCTGTCCCTAACATTTTCTCCCGTTTCACACTGATCATTTGCGCTGCGATTGTCTGTGAACAAGGAAGAGGCTTTCCCAAAGGCGAGAGGATTTTGTTGTTGTATCTTGGCTGTACTGTAAACATCGTCGTTCAATACTCTGAACATAGCAATGCAGACGATTGCACCTTTTGAAAAGGGGAGGAAGTAATAAGCGATGTAAGCGTTCTAAAACTTATTGTGCTGTTAAATAAGTTGTCCTTACCAGAGACTGACAGTGCAATGTTTGCAGTGAAATATTTATTTCTCCGCCCCCAATACCTCCCCTCAATACCTCCTGGCAGTCAGCCGAAACCCACCAACCTACTCTTTCTCAAGAAACGCTACGTAACAGAATATTAACTCTCTGTTTTCTTCTTTGTTTACATCTAATCAGAATTTGTGAAGGCGCTAACACCTGCTTAAAAATACAAACGGTGTCATTATGAAGTTATTTTCATATACCTTTACTTCAAAGGATGAAGGTGCAGCAGACATATTAACAAATTGTTTATGGTTATGAATTTAAGAGAATGTTATCTTAAACAAAAAGATGAAAAACAGCCAGATCCTGTAAATATATGTATATATTTAAATATACATACCAAATCCATGTTAATCACTATCCTGGCTTTTTCACTTCGGCTTCAAGTACAGCTGAAAAATCTATGTAAGTATTCCAGTAGCTAATAACTGTGTGTGTGTGTGACTTTCAGAATGCTAACGTATACTAACCCATATTTAATAGGCAATCTCAGAAGCAACTAAAATTAGATATAAAACTGTCCCATTAAAAGAAAAAACAGATAACTTTAGCACTCAATCAGTTTCCTGGTGTTAATGTAACACTTCAAAGGGACTGGGTTTTGTCTTCTTGTTTTGAGGATGGGGGAGTAGGGAAAGTGGGAGGCTGGGGGTTAGTGATGTCTTAGGTGGGTAGGCTGTGCAGATGTAATATCCATCACTCTCGACTGCACTTTTAAATAACAGAAGATCAAAACTAAACAAAACTAAAAGAACAAAGCTTTATACATCCAAATTTCTAAATTGTTGCCATCAATTGTTTTATATTCTAGTTCATACCCTGAGGCAAATTGAAAAGTAAGGGTTTACAAAATGAAATAAGTGAAGGCCTCTTCCAAATAAATCCATAAGGCAAAGTTGGAAGTTTTCATAGAGTATTTTGATGTAATAAAATATGAGGAGACTTCTCCTATACAAGTTTTAAAACCATATCTGAAAAATAGGAGTAACAACTGTATATTGGACTGGACATAACATATGAAAAATAAGTCTCACCAAGATTTCATAAAAGTGATGCAAAAATTCCTAAGAAAATATAATTTAAATAATGCTTGTGCTTCATAAAAATGATCTGCATTAAAAAATGTGATTTAATGTCTTATGATGCAATGATAGTAGAAACTTCAAAAGTTAACTTTATTAAGTCAAATGTGTCAATCCTGTAAGCTGCATCCTAGTCATTAAGTATTAAAGATCCAAATAAAATGTGAAAATATTATTACTTGATGCAATTTAAAACATGCATCTTACTGTGGAAGTAAATGTTTAAATGGCACTCATACACAAAAGCAGATTTAATAAACCTAGAAATTATTTAATATATGAGAAAAATATATATCTTTTCAAAGTTGAAATTAAAAGACAAAAAGTAATACATTCAGCAATGTGGAAGAACCTTGAAAACATCACCCTGTGTTAAAAAAAGATACACAAGAGGCCACGTACTGGAAGATTACATTCACACGGAGTTCCCAGAAGGGGCAAATGAGGAGACAAGAACCAAGTTAGTGACGGTTGCGCAGGAAAGAATAAGAGAGAGAGAGCATGGGAAGTAACTGCTAAGCTGTTCAGGTTTTCCTTCTAGGTCAGTGAAATATTCTGGAGCTAGATACAACTGCTGATTGCACAACATTTGAGTGTATTTAAGCTACTCAATTGTATCCTTAAAATGATTTAAATGAATGGTATATATATTCATTCACTTCAAAGCAGAAAAAAGAAAAAGAGGACTTCACAGATATTAATGTAATTATATGAAGGGACTGGGAGGACAAGAGCCTTTAAATTAAAAAGAAGGATTTCACTGCTTTTAAATTTCCAGCTCCAAGAATATAGCCTGGCATATATATTAATTCCTTGAAATATCTCTATAGTATACTTCAATCAACAAGCAGAGTCAAAAATGGTTCCAAGCTTATAGAAAGAAAACTTGTATTCCATTTATAAAAAGCCAAAAACTTCCATGATTCTCTAAAGATTTTTCATGCAAGAATAAAGAGGATGGAGAAAGGGAGGTACAGTCCATCTCAATAATATGATATCAGTAGGTTACATGATATTTCTTTGAGTGCATTTTTAACATTATGTCAGCTTATGTCAATCTCAGAGGCCTGGTTTATACTCAGTCACTATGCTCACATAAAATATTTAGCCATTCTTATAATATTGTACCTTCAAACCAGAGACATAATGTATGCTACCCTGAACTTTTGGGTGACTAGGATACCACACCCATGCCCCACATTCATTCTCAGCTCTGTTGGGTTAAATGACTATCACATTTCTTATTCATGGTTGAATATGTCTCAACTTTTTCTCAATCATCCCCACAAGCAAAGTGGTGGGAAGTGATACAGTTCTAAAAAAGTTAAACCCAAAGAGGATTCACTAACAAAAAAGTTTGCCAAACTATCAAACTTATTTTCTGTTTTGGTGGGATTAACATTCTAGAATAGGAAAGTGCACCAGAGATATCAGATTCAAATACTTTTTCATATTATAGATTCTTATTTATTCTTAAAGCAAAAATGAATAAGAACTGAATACTATTAGATTATAACAATGGAATCAACTGCATGTAAGGTATCAGTTCAGTTTAGTCACTCAGTCCTGTCTCACTTTTTGTGACCCCATGGACACACCATGCTTGCCTGTCCATCACCAACTCCTGGAGTTTACTCAAATTCATGCGCACCAAGTCAGTCATGCCATCCAGCCATTCATCCTCTGTTGTGTCCATCTCCTCCTGCCTTCAATCTTTTCCAGGATCAGGATCTTTTCCAATGAGTCAGTTCTTCTCATCAGGTGGCATAGTTTCAGGTATTGGAGTTTCAGTCTCAGCATCAATCCTTCCAATGAATATTCAAGTCTGATTTTTTTTTTAGGATGGCTGGTTGGATCTCCTTGCAGTCCAAGGGACTCTTCAAGCATCTATTCTTCAGTGCTCAGCTTTAAAGTATAAGTACATACTTTATACTTAGATATGCAGATGACAGCACTCTTAAGGTAGAAACAGAAGAGGAACTTAAAAGCTTGTTGATGAATGGTAAAGAAGAGAGTGAAAAATGTGGCTTGAAATTCAACATTAAAAAATGAGGATCATGGCATCTGGTCACATCACTTCATGGCAAATAGATGGGTAAACAATGAAAATAGAGACAGATTTTATTTACTTGGCTCTAAAATTACTGCAGATAATGACTGCAGCCATAAAACTAAAAGATGGTTGCATTTTGGAAGAAAAACTATGTCCAACATAGACAGCATATTAAAAAGCAGAGACATTACTTTGCCAACAAAGGTCCATCTAGTCAAAGATATGGTTTTTACAGTAGTCATGTATGGATGTGAGAATTAGACCATAAAAAAGCTGAGTGACAAAGAATTGATGCTTATGACCTGTGGAGCAGACTCTTGAGAGTCCCTTGCACTGTAAGAGTACCAAACAAGCCAATCATAAAGGAAATCAGCCCTGAATGAATATTCATTGGATAGACTTTTGCTAAAGCTGAAGCTCCAATATTTTGGCCACCTGATGCAAAGAACTGACTCATTGGCAAAGACCCTGATGCTGGGAAAGATTGAAGGCAGGAAGTGGACAACAGAGGATAAGATGGTTGGATGGCATCACCAACTAAATGGACATGAGTTTGAGCAAGATTCAAGGTTGGTAATGGACATGGAAGCCTGGCATGCTGCAGTCCATGGCTGTCACAAACAGTCAGACATGACTGAGCAACTGAAATGAATGGAACTGATGCACTTTCTCCTAGCTGGTTAAATACCCATTTTCTACAGTGGATAGACCTTAGTTCAACAGTGTTTACATGAAACCCTTACAAAATTTTACAACAATAATTTGCATTTTTTTCTCTTCATTGTTCCCGGTCACCTCCCCCCGGCAAAATACTTAGAACATGTTCAAATGAAGGAATAGGTACAATTATAATTGCACAGATTTTGCTCCATTTATGTCCTCTAACACTATCAAGACATTTCCCACCAAAATATGAAAGTATGTGGTTAAAATATAAGGACTTCAAATCTTGCCCTATTTGTAATTTACTCTAGTTCAGTCTTTATTTTTTTGGTCTCCAAAATCACTGCAGATGGTGATTGCAGCCATGAAATTAAAAGATGCTTACTCCTTGGAAGGAAAGTTATGACCAACCTAGACAGCATATTAGAAAGCAGAGACATTACTTTGCCAACAAAGTTCTGTCTAGTCAAGGCTATGGTTTTTCCAGTGATCATGTATGGATGCGAGAGCTGGACTGTGAAGAAAGCTGAGTGCCAAAGAATTGATGCTTTTGAACTATGGTGTTGGAGAAGACTCTTGAGAGTCCCTTGGACTGCAAGGAGATCCAGCCAGTTAATTCTATAGGTGACCAGTCCTGGGTGTTCATTGGACAGACTGAATGCTGAAGGTGAAACTCCAAAACTTTGGCCAACTCATGTGAAGAGTTGACTCATTGGAAAAGACCCTGATGCCAGGAGGAGAAGGGGATGACAGAGGATGAGATGGCTGGATGGCATCACTGACTCAATGGACATGATTCTGAGTAAACTCCGGGAGTTGGTGATGGACAGGGAGGCCTGGAGTGCTGCAATTCATGGGGTTGCAAAGAGTCAGACACAACTGAGTGACCAAACTGAACTGAACTGAATCTATAGCAATTTGTATGTGCATTTATTTTCTAGTTTTTCTGTCAGCTTTTTTGTTTGTTGGCTGTTTTTTAGCTCTAAAGATACACAGAGCTTCCCAGATAGCTAGCTCAAATGATAAAGAATTCACTTGCAATCAGGAGATCTTGGTTCATTTCCTTCTTTGGGAAGATACACTAGA